GGGGGGGGGGGGGGGGGGGGGGGGGTGGGGGTGGGAGTGAGGGCCGTCTACTGTCTCCCTTAATAATAATATTATTATAAGAATAAAAATAATGATGAATTAATAATAGTGGAATAATAATATTAATAGTTTTAGTAATAATAATAATAGTAATGATAACAGTAATAATAACAGTAGTAATAATAGATAATAGCAACACTGATAGTAATAAAAACAGTAATAATAACAACAACAGTAACAATAATAACAATAATATAATAATGTAACAGTAGTAAAATATAACAGCAATAATAACAATAATAATCGCAATAATAAATAATAATGGTAATAGCAATATTGCTATTATTAATGATAATTAGTTATAATAGTATTGTTATTAATAGTAATAGTAATAATAATAATGACAATAACAATAATAACAATAATGATGATAATAATAATAGTAGTAATAACAATAAAATTTAAGCCGAAAACTTGAATCCTTTTACAGATTATACGGCTTACGACATTTAATTTTCTCATTTCTTTTATATTATAGTTTTTATACGATGGGATAAAAAAGAAGCCGCGTAAGTTTCGAGTATTTTTTACAAAAAGCACAAAATTTTGAGCTGGCGCGGAGGTTTCCCGCGCTCAGAGATACCTGTCAACAGCGGAATGTGAGCAGCCAGCCAGTGGTGCACATTCGGCTAATAATACCCATGCAAGTAAAAATATGCTTTCAAAATCCTGCACCCTGTCAGCTGGCTACTACTCCTAGCTGTTTGCTGGACAAATTCCACAGCCAAAGTGCCGAGTGGTCATCCGAATGGTCGCACTTTCTCAAAAGTAATTTATCGTTTCCAGGAACGTCAGTCACTGGCTGCTCGGGCAGCGAGTCTTGCCAACACATTTTATTTTCTCGCATGGTGAAAAGAACCCCTCGAAATACATTTGGAGAGCGGTGTTTTTTTTTTTTTTTTCAATTTATATAATTTTTTGAAGTTTCACCACATTTTAGCAGCATTTGATGCATTCGACAGCTACATTTGTGATTTTTTTCCCCGAGAAATTCATCAGCCCCCCAAATTAAGGTACAAAACAAAGAAAACTTATCAGGGCAAGAGAGTGAACGGCGCTCTGATTCACAGTTCTGTACTGTTGAGATCTGCTTACTTTCCGCAATCGATGAGCATCCCAGCTCATTACATCGGAAAAAAAAGCATCTCGGATTTTATGTTTAATTTTGCTACTTCGTATTTAAGTGGAACAATTGGAGTTAAGCAGCTTAAGGCTCTTCAATCCTTTTCGATCCTAAGCTGCATATCTCCGGTTATTCCTTTTAACTATAAGGAAGTAAAATCAATCATAAAGCCGATGATGCTTTTTCAGTTTGTACCGGTTGCGCAGATGCGGAAAATGAATCCATCATAGGTGGTAACTGGAAAGAATTACTTTATTGCCTTATGCAATTTTGTTAATATTACAAATATTTGTAAATTCTTCGTATGAACACCAATTTTCAAAATTTTTACAACTAGCAAGGTAAATTCCAAGGAAAATAGAGAGCAAAGATACAAAAAAGAGAAAAAAGAAACCAAAAAAAGAGATTCTGAGTACAATATGATTAAAAATCCACAAATTCACACGCACTTCACCAGATTTACTTTTTGCATTCCAAAAAAAGCACGGCACTTGTTAATTTTTCGGAACAAAGATGCGATCAACAGTACCCAGAACGGAATTCAAACATCCCCTCAAAGCACGAGAAATTTCATTCGAAAAGCTAGTTGTACGGTTCCGCGCAGGCTTATCATTCAGCTGACCTTCGCCGTGATGGGTCCGTTCATCCTTGCCAACTACGGTAATTTCCTCGCTCGATGACGATGATGATTGGGCCGATGAACAGGATTGTAACCGGAATCTGCGCCTTTTTGCATTCCGTCTACGAGAAGCACTCTCGGAATCAGCGCGTCTTCTGTTGGCCTGAACACGTACCGGTAGATTTGGCCGGTCATCGCTTTCAGGCTGACGAATGTTTCGATCGCTTGGTGCTGTGATTTCATCCTGGAAAACTTATTACATGTATTTTCAGTTCTCGCTGTGTCGTTGTTTCTGGGCTTTGTGCTGGTGGCTTTGCTGGCGTTGGTGACAAAACCACTCAAAACTTATGGTTTTGTCAGAAGTTCCCCATGAACAGCAACACTGTAACCAAGACACTCTGCAATTATACTGACTGATGTTCGACCACTGCTCAGATATTGCCTTAGTTACTTCGTGTATTATTTGCATTGGTTGATATGATATGTATGTACCATTGTTATTATTATTATCACTGTTATTATTGTTGTAACGGTTATCGTTATTATTATTATTGTTATTGTTATTATTATTATTATTATTATTATTATTATTATTATTATTATT